AAGATGCTTCTAAGCCACTTCACTTGAATATGAGCTCACATACCACCCCACAGAGGCCACCCATGCTCCTGAGCTTGCTTGTGGGCATGTGCATCACTGATTGTAAAATATTGACCCGTTTTGCCAATACCCTATCCCTGCTGAGTGAAGAAGCAATCTGAAAGATTCTCTATATAACTATTAACAGAAAGAAAAAGCATCTTTTGAAAGTTTTAAAAAGTGATTGAGAATAATTTGATGACGAACAAAAACAAGAGCTAATATACCCAGGTTTATACTCATTTATTGCTCTGACTGTCAAGTAAAAATTATACATTCCTGTGTATAATTAACCAGGCTAACTAATCTTGCTTGACAAACACAGATATAAACATCAGTTTTGACACAGAGCCAAAGCAACCACTCCAGGATCCCTGCCAATGCTGAATTCCTCAGTCTGATATCATAAAATGACTTGTCTGTTGTATTTACAGTTCCAGTGGCTCTGGACTCTGCAGGCAGCCGGCCAGAAGAACAGATTTGAACTTACCCATTATGCCAGAACATGTGCATTTGATTAGAAAAAAGAAAGAAAAATTATGCATATTTCTTCTGGATGGTGGTATTCATCAGACATCCCATTGTAAACTAATTGCAAGGCATGCTGCTACGCAAGTATCAAAAATCCTTTGTAAAGTATAATGAACTCGTATATTTCTATAAGCAGTACTGCTCTTCAGCTCTGCTATCCTGCTCCTTACCTCCACACCTCAAGTCAGAAAAAGCAGTGTGTTTCACATTATTTTAATTGCAATGGACAGAATTTGAATTCTGAAGAGTATAGAGAATAGAAGCTTTCTTCTTTCATACATAAATACAACAATATTTTACCTTATTACCTGAGTTATGAGGAATGTGGTAAAAGCCACTCTAGCCCAGCCTGTGACATTTCACGTTTCTTAAATCTTCATGAACAGAAATCTTGGTAAAAACCTGCTAGGCAGGCCATGTGTTAAAACCTGCCTAAGAACACCCCATCTCATGGCAGGCAAAAGGAGCCACCCCATTTTTTCAGCTGTCACTCACAAGCCACCAAGTGCCACCACCACAAAGTGCCAGCTTCTCCTGTGACATTTAGCAAGCCCATCAGTGTGCTGGTGAGCAGGAAAGTGTCACAACTACAAGTGGAAGATGTGAAAAGTGTCCCAGAAAAAGCAAAAGGCCCACATGAAGATTTTGAAGCGTGTGTTTCAGAAGAGTTCACATCCCACAGGGACTTCTAAGCAAATGAATCACATATTGGAAACATATTTTTTAAACTTCAGGCCATATACTTGATACTGAACAGGAGCAGTTGGATTATGAGCTAAAAACAGTCACAGGCTTTCCTCAGAAAAGATCAGCTCCTGAAAATAAGGCAAGGAGCCTTAATCCCATTTCTAGCCAGCAGGACTCATCAGCACCCAGCACATGCAAGGTGAGCTCGAGGTCCCCAAAGGCAGCCCTTATGTGGATTTCAAACCCCAACAGCACCCGAGAGGGTACCAGTGACACGCGGTGGGACAGGCCGCAGCCAGGACCAGAGTGCAGAGTCCAGGCCGAGTGCCGCCACGCTGGTTCAAAGTCCCTTCCACCCCTCACTGCAGGCACCAGCGCCTCCAGCACTGACAGGGACCAGGCTGTCACGCGGCTTCTTTCCTGGAATATTTTCCCACCTCTCTCTTTTTTTTTTTTTTTTTTTTAAACGTTGCTGCTTTCAGTTATACATTTATAATACAGGGATTATTCTCCAGGACTGACATCGCACCTCCTACAAAACTTTATAAATGCCCCTTCCCCCTGGAAGTTTTACACAACATGGCAGTCCCCCGTGCCACCTCTGCACCTGAGCAGCACTCAAGTGGGCCCAAGCTTTACTCAGACAGGGCCATCTCCACTGCCCCAAAAGCCCCTGGGGAGCCCAGCTAGCACCAAGAAGGGACTCTGGGAGAAGGGACTTTGGGACAGGAGGAGCTGCAGCTCATCAGCACTTCACAGGCAGCCCCCGGGGGCACTTCAGGTGACCGGCCTGGCAGGGCAAGCTGCAAGCTCACTTCCCAGCCCCATCCCCTCCACCAAGCACCAGAGCTCCTGCAGCATGGAGACAGATCCCCAGGATCAGGCTGACCTCCTCCTCAGGTCATAGCATCGCTCTGTACAAGGATGTGAATCCTCTTGCACCAAGAAGGCTGACCCCAGGTCAATTACACCTTGGTGAGGTCCTCATCCATTTAACTTCTGTAAGTGGGCAACCCTTGTATTATTTTACTAGAAAACGGAAAGTCTAGGGGAATGCAGAAGCCAACAGGCACTATGTCGGGTCTGCAACAGAGTAGCACTCTGGAAGGATGTTGTCTAGTTATTTTTATCTTTTAACCATGTCAGCTAATATTTTTAAATATGGCTTGTTCCAAAGATAAATTTGGATCACTGCTCTGCAAAGATGAAAGGTTACATTTCATTATCAGCCCTCAAATACCAACCAACAGCTCTTAAGTGTATCCGGTGCTGTTGTAAAAACATATCTTCCACCCATTCTCTTTGACGCAATCTTAACTTTCTTGTAATGGTGTTGAAAGTCATATGGAAATGGCAAAGTCCTAACTGACTGATTTCTCATATGTAGATGCAAGGAAAGCTTCCTTTAGTGTATGAAAGTCTTTCTTGTCTCCTTTTGTTTTTTGTAGCTACCAAAAAAAAAAAGCATGAAGTACATTACACTAAGCAGACAATAAGCTCACAGAAGTTCATTTGCTAAGCAAACCTCCCCCCTCTTCCAGTACTTAGGCTGAAAATTAAAGACATACTTTTGTTTTAAAAAGGCTCACACTTTCAACATACTGCTCTGGACACTTAGTCCCATCTGTCTAATACCCCCACATCCCAAACCAATAAATTATAACACATGTCCATCTACAAAGGGCTGATCCAGTGGCTCAGAAACAACTCCCTTTCCCAAACATGTGGCAGTTTTTTGGGCATCCAATTCTGCTTCTAGTCTAACTGGTAAAATAAAAGACAAATACATTGAATTTAAAACTGATTTTTATTTTTAGCATATGCACTCACAATTCTTCAAAAAGATAAACAACATGGGCTGGTTTAATGGCAGAAGGGAAATGTCCATAGGTGACGTGGGAGCCTGCATGCACTGCAGTAGTCATTTGGTTAGTCACAGGAAAAATCTTCCTGCTGAAGGTGTCCCACATGCCAGCTACAGATGACAGCTACTACTCCCATATCCACGGCATTTATTATTATTATTATTATAATAAGGGATTGGTTACTATTAATTTCAGATGGAAATTCAGCTGCACACAGCTTTACAAATTATATTGAGTCCCTTTCAATACTGGAGTATAGTACAGCATTACCATTTGTTTGGAGTCCGATACCTTCCCTGCTAAAGAACAAGGGCCAAAAAAATCACTTTACAGCAAGTAACTTCATACTTATTTATAAAACAAGCTCTGTCCTGCATTGTTACTATTGGTACAAAAATGACTGCAAGAACACAACTCAGTTTTAAAGTCATCTCTACAATCCAAATTCACTCTCCAAAAGACCTTTATCTCCAGCCAGTGCCAACAGCTCTCATGCACACAGTTAAGCTTTCCCCATAAAAACCTGACAAAACAGCACTGCACTTTCAGCAGTGCTCAGGCACACAGAAGAACAAACTAGGATGTTCTTACAGGCATGCCAGAGACGACTGGTTATTTATACCTCTCTACACCAAACAGGCTCCTACCACAACTAAGTCAACTTCAGTCAGTTTCCATTTAAAAGTAAATCTACTCAAGCTCTAACTGAATTGATCAGTACTTCAGTGGGGCTAAGCACTGGATCAATGCTCCAGCCTTATTCTCATCACTGCATGTAGGTGTGCAGGGGCAGAGAGGTGCATGCGCATGCACAGGTCTTAAGGTGTTCCCAAGCAACTGGTAAGCATACTTTTTATTATTATTATTATTTTCTGTTAAAAAATTACATACATACATATAAGAACAAAACAAACACAGCACCTGTCACGTATCCCTGTAGTTTAGTGCAAGTTAGAATGAAAAGAAATGCCTAACTTCACTTTTGTCATGTTTCTTTGTTGGTTTGTTTTTTAAAGCTTTATCATTTCTATTTCTCATGCATCTCAAAAAGATGTGAATGTTTTGGAAGCATGCTATTACAGAGTTCAAGTCAGAAGAAAAAAGAAATGTGGACATTTTCAGCATTCAGGACAACGAAACAAAGTTGGTTCCAAGCCAGTCCAATTTGCCACTGCAAGACGAGGTACGAGAAATGAAGTTAGCCCAAACTAAAGTAACTACATGGCAAAGGCAATGAATTTTTATTTATGAAGTTTTATTGGGAAAGACACCTATGATGGCGATATACAAGTGCCCTCTCCACTCCTGAGCAAGAAAGCCTACAAGAAAAATAACTCTCCCCTTCCAAAAAGAAAGTTTGCCACGCTCAAACAGAGCATCCCTTATTTTGTGCCACATCCCCGATGCTGCAAGGACAGCCTCTTCAGCTGCAGGGCACTGGCAGGAGGCAGAACACTGAAACTAGTTCGGAAAACACCACCGCATGGGCGCCAGCAGCCAAGCAAGGCAATGCCAGCCGCGTACGTGCACACTGAGGGGTAGGGAGCTCTCCCGCCCACCTCAAACAGCCCTCCAAGGGAAAACCACGGTCAAGGCCGGGCTTTTTCTGCCAGGGTGCTCCCAGCCCCGGCGGTGCCGGCTGCCCGCAGCTGGGAAGCACCCGGGGTGCCGCCGGCAGCCGCCCCACTCCTTGGCGATGCCCGGCGGCACACCGGGGGCACCGGGTTCGCCCTGACCGGAGTCGGCAGCGACACAGAAACTGTAGGGGGAGGCGAGAGGGCTCCTACCCGTTTCCCGGCCCCCGGGCACGGCGCGGCGGGACTTCCCCGGGACGGGCACGGAAAGTTTGTGCGACCGCGGGGCTCCGCAGCCCCTTACCTTGGAGCGCTCCTTCACGTAGTACTTGCCGAGCCGGCTGCCGCAGTACATCACCAGGCGGTCTATCAGCGTGAGGAGGAAGTTGATGGCCTCGCAGCCCTCCTCCGTGCCCCCGATCCACTTGATCTGGTCGCCACGGAGGTGCCGCTTGGCGACGCCGCGGCTGGGGCCGGCCAGCTGCCCGTCGGCCAGCTCCCCGTCTCGGTGCATCCGCTTCACCCGCTCCAGCACGCAGTCCCCCACCACCTCCCCCAGGAAGTTGTCCAGGTAGCAGAAGCCGATGTCGTGCAGGCAGGGCACGACGTACTCCAGGGCGATCCTCTCCAGGTCCAGCCGCATGATGTGCCCCAGCGGCATGGCGCGGCGGGGACGCCTCGGGGGGCGACACCCGCCGGCGCCAGGCCGAGCACCGCGGGGGCTCCGCCGCCGCTCTGTGCCGGGTCAGGCCGGGACAAAACTTTCCCGCCGGCGGCCGCCCGGGCTGCGCTCAGCTCCGCGGCCGGGCACCGCGGGGACAGCAGCGCCGACGGAGCCCCGCGCTACCGCTGCCGCAGCTGCCGCTGTGCGAGCAGCGTGCGCTGCTGGGGAGCCGTGCGGGAGCGGCGGCGGGCGGCAACCCCCGCCCGCTTTAAGGAGCGGGGCGGCAGATGGCCCCGCGCTGATTAATACGCCTGCTACGTGCGGGATGTGTGCTCGCCCGCCCGCCCGCTCCCGCGGCGCCGCCGCCGCACGTGGGTGGAGCCCGCCCGGCGCGGCGCGCCACGCCCGCGCCACGCCCCCCGCCGCCCCGGTAGCCAATCGGTTAGCAGGGGGCGGGGCCAGCCCGCGGGGAACAAGCTGCGGGGCTTTCCACACGTGCGCGCTGGGGGCGGGGCCTGGTAGGTGTAAGCCCCGCCCACCTGTGGAGTGGGCGTGGCCTGAGCCATTGAGGAATTCCCCCGGGGACCCTGGGGCGGGGCGGGGGCTGCAGGGGCTGGGGGGGGGACCGGGGGGTGCCTGGCCCTGGTGGGAGCACTGCTGCTGTGCGCCTGTGCACGCGTTTGTACCGTGTAAAACCCCCCGTGTGACAAAATCTACATCTCCTTCTTGGAGATCACCCTACCACCAATGTCACCCACTGAACCATGTCCCCAAGCACCACGTCCAACCTTTCCTTGAACACCCCCAGGGACGGTGACTCCACCACCTCCCTGGGCAACCCGTCCCAATGCCTGACTGCCCTTTCTGAGCAGAAATGTCTCCTCATTGCCAACCTGAATCTCCCCTGGCACAACTTGAGGCCATTCCCTCTAGTTCTATCACTAGTTAATCTGCAAGAAGAGGCCGACCCCCAGCTCCCCACACCTATGTGTGGAGGGTGGTGTGCCAGAATCAAGTATAGGTAAAGGCCAGACACCTAGCCTTTCTGCCACGTGCCATGCTAACACTTTGACAAGTCAATGGCTCAGAGATATATCTTTTGGCTGTAGCTGAAGTCTGTCATTACAGCTCCGTTCTTATCCTTGTGAGAGTTTGAAGTGGTTAGGCATCTACCTGAAAAAGCCATCCTAGAAGATCTAGAGATGAGTCTTAAAGTCTGAGCCCACAGCCCCACTTGCACTGCGATGTTCACAGAGTAGTAAATATTTTTATTCCACAGGTGTCAATAAGTCGTGGCTTCCTTGTAAAGGAAGTTGTGGATTCCCTCATAAAGGCATAAAACAGGTGTGAAGTAAGGCAATCTGCAGTGTCACCCACACCTTTGGGTATCATACCATAGAATCGTAGAATGGCTTGGGTTGGAAGGGACCTCAACGATCGTCTAGTTCCACCACCCTGCCATAGACAGCAATATGTACAAGCTTTATTTACAGTGCCATGTATCATGGGCACAAAAGCACCACCATGTCTTAATTAAAATTTTACATCTTAGGCTTATATATGAGCTATTCCTCTGCCATGTGAAGCTCTGTTTGCCCTTATGCTGTAGAAACTTACATTTTCCCCTCTAAAATTAATTCTGTATTTTGTTACTTTCCTTTCTAGGATCTCATTTTTAAAACTGTTCCAAGTCGTGCGCATCTGTTGCTTGCATCTGCCCCTACAGTATGTTCTGGGAGAGCTTGGGAGATTGTGACAGGGCATTATCATTTCAGCAGGGTGTTTCTAAGTTTTGTTTTAGGGGACAGGAACAATTGGTAAGTGTCAGTAAAGCCTGGGTACCTTGTTGCACAGTAATGTATTTTTTTGACAGTAGTTCACAGATGCACTTTTTTTAGAGCAGAGAGTTGTAAACACTGACAGCATTGTTTTCAGATTCTTCTCCAGAAGCCAGAACACTTCAGTGCCAAAAGCTGAATAGCTAAGGCCCCAGAGAAGTGGGAAAGGGGAAGAGTATTCTTTGTATTGGTAAGAAACTGAAAAATAGGTTTCTCATACCTCACAGTATGATTTGAAGAGCTGAGGCCTTGCCATCTAGTTAGACAACATTTGAGCCCCCGCCTACAAAAGGAGGTTTTCTGATCATTTTGGGGTGGCTGTACCCACCCCTCCTGTAGAGGCAGGCTGTGGTTGTACGGGACCAACACCCCACCACTAGCCAGCCTTGTCGTGCCAGCTCGAGGGGTCACTATCCCCATCTGCCCTTCCCAATCCTCTGCTGGAAGCTTCAACCTCCCCACCGTGGGGCTGACAGGAAGGACCATGTGATTCTGCCTCTGCCACTTCAACAGGGCAAAATCCAGAGCCTTAGCACCTCCTTCACTGGCGGTTTAGTTTTATGCAGTGGCTGCCGAGCCATCAGCACCCACAGCCACTTTGCAGCCAGCAGCTCCTGGCAGAGGGGCACAGCAGCTCCTTTTGGTGCACTGTTTCCTTCAGCTGCAACACCAAGATTTGCCAGGGCTCCTTTGTCAGCACCCTTAATATTATGTCACCCTCAAAGCAAATGTGAGGGCAAAGGCACATGTCATGGCTTGAGCTGATTCAGGAACTTGCTCAGCGCCTTTTCCCCCACAGCTCCTGCTGCACTTCTCTGGCACACTTTGGGCTCATCCACAGCCGGTCCCACTTGCTAAGGTGGCAGAAAAGCGATCCTGAGCAGCACAATTAAATGTAAGGTAATTTTCTGCCAGGTCCATGAGTTGAGTTGTCTGGGGCCAGACCCTGTAAGAACCATGCGAGAATGGGGCAGAGACCTGGGGAGACTACCAGGACCGGCTGATTTGGGGCAGGCATGGACAGTTTGACAGCTCAGCCTCAGCTGGCACCTGCCCTTCATAGCCACCCTCCTGCAGCCAGCATTCGGGCCCCAGGTGGATCCTGTGTTCTGGATTTGGGGTTAGTTACGCAGGATAAAGTCCAGGCTAGGCTTTGGCTTGATCAGCTTTACATCTCCCAAATATCGCCTGTCTGTGGGAGGCTGTTAACGCGTGTTAACAGATGCACCAGTAATGATCTTCCAAATCCTCGTCTTGGGAAATACAGCACTATAAATACCACAAGCTTCTGATGTTGTTAGCACTAAAGGAGCTCAGCTAGCACCAGGAAAATTGTATCAAAGCTGTAAACATTGCTAATACAATATTTTTGTAAACCAAAATTCAGTGGTTCTTAAATTGCTGGCTTCTTTTAGGAATCTGACTATGCATACATCCACATATGTATCTTCCTGTTTTAGAGAGGTTTCTTACCTTTGTGATTTCTAGTGATAAGAACTTCATTCAGGGCAACTACTAAGATTTGAAAGGAAATAATAAACTACCATACGTAACATTCTGATTGTCTAAAAAAATGATTCCTTTTTAAAATAGATATTTCTGTCCAGAGACCATCTCCCATGCTACCAAGGATAGCAACGTTTTTCTGGGATTGAATCCCAGTGACAGAAAAGTCTGCATAAAATGATGCATTGTAATAACACAGAGGATCCACGCAGGGTAATACCGCTCCACCAACCAGAAGACTGAAGATGGAGCTGAGTTAAGATGCATTGTCTGGGATTTCAAGTCAGAAAACCCTCACAAATGTAGAGTTTGCCACACCAGAAAGTGAAGTTCTTAGCAATAAAGGGATTTTTACTGAAATGATCAGCTTTGAAATCTTTACTGTGTCTTTTCTTTCTCAAAGACATTAAATGGTCACTTAACATAGGTGATGATGAAGAAGAAGAAAGTCATAGATAAAGTGTTCAAAACAATTCTCACCCTCTCCATCTTGCATGCGGGTTTGCAGTTGAGTTTTCACACTTCTAGTTCTGCCATAGCTTCCAAAGAAAATTAGAATTGAGTGTGATATTAAATATCTTTATTATTATAATTTTAAATAAATAAATAAGGACCTCTGGGCTCATGCCAAGAACAAATAAATATCTACAGCAAGTCTTTCCCCACAGACACACTACACTCTTCAGCTGGTCAGATTTAGGGAACAGACCTTCCATTTTCCAGTTCTGTTAGCCCATGAATGGGAATAGCTTATTATCTGAATTTTATGATCTAAACCTCCACTGTGCAGTTGTCAGTACAAACTTAATTTCTGGGAAATCTGTAGCTCAAAATAAAAAATGCAGTTGGCTTTCACAAGTCACCGTCCTACTGAAATACCACTAAGATAGTAGAGTTGGATAATAGAGTCTTGGTTGGATTTCCTTTCTGTATTTTCTTGTCTATTCTGTTTTTTGTTTGTTTGGTTAGTTTGGTTTGTAGTTTTTGTTTGTTTTTTTTTTTTTTGTAAGTTGCTGGAGCAGTAAATGGCAAAAGTCCTTATAATTGAGGAAAAAAAAATAAATCACAATTCTGATTCTTTTTCCACCTTTCTGACCCAAATGGCTACAAAATGTTCAAAAAAAAAAAATGGCTACAAAAAAAATGGCTACAAAAGTGTACCGAATGGTGAGCAGTGATACTGCTCAAGTTTGTTCCATCTGCTCACCTTTTATTTAGAAATTTCCTATCTACAACTAGAAATTTTGGAGGGGCTCAACAAATATGCTTTTGAACTGTCATGCCTTACTTGAAGTATTATGGTGCTGAAGAATCATGGCTTTGTCTTTACAGTACTGTATCAACCAAGTTAAATACATGCTAACAAACAAATAAAAAGAAGGTTTTTCAAATTGCATGAGCAAGAAGTCAAAATGTCTTCCACTGAATTACTTAAGATAATAAAAGCAGTCTCTTTCTGCCCTTTTTCTTTTTATCCCACAAGTATTGGTGAATTTATATAGCTAGTATGTACATTTCTTTGAATTAGAAAGGGAATAAATTCTATCAAATATAACGCATGTTTGGACTGTTGTAATTATATCCACACCAGTAGTTGTACCAATATAATTATTTTGTCAAAAAAATAAAAATAAAAAAATAAAGATTATAAATATTGTGCATAGCCAGGTCATGAATAATGTGTTACCTCTGCCTACCTAAGTGCTTATGTGTTTCACAAAGATTTTCTCAGTTATGTTGATGAAAATATTGCATATACTTTGCTATTTTTTATTTTATAAAAAATAAATAGGTTTGACATTTTTGCATAAAGATCACCATAAAAAGTTCTAGATATGTTTTTTTTTGTGATACAAAATGAATATAAACATAAGCTTTTTCTATATTCTGGGTTTGATGATTAGGAACAGATGTTCATGGACTTGGACATCTTACAGTATGTGTAATTACTAGAGCTGTCCTCCTAATCATAGCACGCAGAATTGATCACATTCTATATCTAATTAAAGCAATTTCTCCTCCCGATGCAGAACCATGAAAGTACTGTTCCCTAAATTCTCTTCTGAATGGCTTGCTAATAAAACTTACATCAAAGTTTTTTTTTTCCTTTCTTAAAATGTTTCTAATAAAATTCTTCCCAAAATTAAAGTAGTATTTGGCATCTATTTTGTAAGATGTTTGCCAGATGTTATTCTGAGTAAGTACTGTCTGAGTATTACTTTGGCTGCTTAAAATGTAAAATACGTGTTCATATCAAGTTATAAAATTAACAATTTACACATACAAACAGTTGCGGAGTCAGCCTTAAGACCAAACTGCAGCCAGTCTCTCCTGGGCCCAGTTCCAAACACCCTCATGGCAGGACATATGCTTTATTCAATTTAAAGTCTGAATTGTTTTTTTGTAAGCAAAGTTTAATTAAGATCTCAACACTAAAGTGCTTCTGAGGATCTTGGTGGCTGCCTCTCGTTCATACATTTGATCCTCTGATAGACAGTTGTTGTTTTTTTCTTTTAATCCTTTCCTGCTTCAGGGGCTGATAGCAACCTTCTCAGCCCCATATTAGCAACAAAAATTGATGTTATTAGGTGATTATCGTGAGCTAAAAGTTTAACAGTTAGAATTCACACCAGCTTCCAAATTTGCACTGCTCACATCTGGCAAATCCTATGCCCACTATTCCTCTTCACCTCCTAGCCCCATCCTGGTGCCTGAATAGTGTGAAGGTAGCTTTGCAGTCTCCAACACAGGGCACCCACTCTTGTGTCCAGCCAAATGATGGCACCTTTTGGCAGTGAACAACCCACCTGCAGCTCAGCAACAGATACCAAGTGTAATTAAAAACTGTCTTTTCAAATGTACTTAGTTGTTTCCACTTTAGCCAGTAGTGTCTTTCCCCAGTGAACCTTTCAAAAAGCAATGCCGAAAAGAAAATCCAAAGCAAAAGAAATGCAAAATGCTACAACCAATGGAAGCCACCATTTATTTAAAATTCTGATTTTATTTATGATTTCATTCATATACTTTTAAAGCATTAAAGCATTAATCTGGTAGACAAGACAGTACTCACACAGCTAATCTCATGGCCAAAGAAAGTTGCAGTTACTCCTAAATCATTCTTACAATGGATTAATTGTCCTTAATTTATGTAATTCACGTTTTCTATCATCTTACCATAGAGACCAGTTGTAAATTATCAGCTTTTTTTTTTTATTTATTTTTTTACCGGCTGCTTGACAATGGAACATTAGCATGTTTCAGTGCTGCAGTGTGTCGAAATAAAACCACTAGACTTGGTGAACACAACCTGCACCTTTCCTGCACAAAAATTGCCATAATTAAACTCAGTTCAAAATGTTGTCATTATTGACTGTCAACAAACACATCAATCCCACTTTGCAGTTCCTTCATTGCCTTTCGGGGGTGTTGCAGTTCAGAGGGTAAGTAGCTATTTTCTGATAAAAGCCCAATGGAGGTTCAATAGCATCCTCAAGGCAGCTCAAGCCCAGACAACACACAGGAATATCACTTTTGGGAATCTGGGTGCCCAAAGCAGATAGCAGCAGTTAATGTCTTCAGTGAGCACTTACTGTCTTCAATGAAGGCTTCCCTTGACTTAAGACAATATGAGCAGACACCGGGTAATTGCGATATGCAGAGACTGGAGCAGACAGGCACATGTTCAAGGCTGTAGGACTACGATGAGCTACTAGATAAATCATTCCTTAGCAATTTTGAGAGAAAATATCTATTTTTCTCGGTGTATGGAAGGAAGGAAAAAACACTGGAAGAATGCTCATGACTAAGCTTGCCTCCCCATTGTGTGGTGATGTATGGAAACTTCATCTGAGTTCTTATCTGTCCTGCTAAGCTCTGAATGGTCTGATGTTATGAACTGAAAAAAAAAAAAAAAAAAAGGCTGAAAATTGTTCCTTTTCTCTCTTCCTTAAGGAAGAAAAACTTGTTTATGTTTTGCAAACAAAGATTTTAGCAGATGACCGCGCCCTTGCTTAACTAGGAATTATTACGTGATTATGCCTCTGGCTTGAGGGTGAGGAATCAGGGAGATCTGTGCCACATTGTGCTGTAATTTGAGAGGCTGATTGCACCGATTTCTTGCGGCTTGCTCTAGGTACGAGTCTATCCCGGGGGCCTTGTCCTTAGGACCACAATATATTCCAGGAGCTACTCTGCTTCTTAAAAGAACAAACTGCCTGATGAAAAGCCCATTAAGGTCTTGCATGTGACCTCGATAAAGTCTCAGTGAGGAAAAGCACGCATATTTCTTCTGAAAGAGTTACTGCTTTTCCTAGAGGCCAGAATCTCAACAGATTATAATACATTGGTCACAGAGTGGATCGATTCATGTTCTTTTTTTTTTTTTTGTTTTCCTCAGAGATTCTGTTTAAAATTCCCTTGCTTTTACCCATGAAAGACAGAAAAGATAAATCAACACTTTAAAGATCATCTTACACAGTAAGTTGCTATTTCAGCAACAAGCTGTCTGATTGCATGTGTATTAAATATGTGACCAGGAATAGTTACAGCATCAATGATAAGAGTAGGCTGGTTTTACAGGGAAAGGTAGATCATCCCATTAACCTGCCTCATTTAACAACATATTTTAGTGCAGATGAAAGTAAACTCATGCACTAAGAAGCAAAGAGCATAGGTGAGATCAGGGGGCTGCATGTGCACGGATTTTTTTAATGCATAAAAGTTAGACTATATATATTACTTTGTCTTTTAGGATCTATATATCCCAGCAATTTTTAAAAGGCCTTAAAGGTTGGGAAAAGTAAGTTTGCTTTGCAGGGTCACAGCTGAGAAAGGGATACAATCATGGCAGAGCTGTTGGTCTAAGCCCAGGAATTACACCGTGATTGCTCTGTTAGGGACACATGTACACTATGCTTGCTACTTGCTGCTGACACATCCTGCTGACAACATGGCAAGCTCCTTTCTAGGAGCAGTGCAAACCCTTACCAGTGGGTCACATCAGAGCAGCAGAAATGGAGACTTACACTGATACAGCCTGCCAAACGCAGGTCTTCTCACTTTCAACAGGCAGGTGTCTGGTAACCTGGAGCACTACTACCCAAAATCCAAAAGCCACGATGATACTGAAAGAGCTGCTGCACTCCCACGTCTGTTCCCTGACAGTGAATAGGCGCAGCATGGCTGGTAGGGTGCAGAGAGGAAGCCATGGCTTGGCTTTGTCTGAGAGGCAAAGAACAAGTACAATGACTTGTTTGAAAGTCCAGCATTGGTCCAGGCCAAATGCTAACTTAGGGACAGAGCTCGAAGTCAGGTGCCTGAATATTCATTACTCCACAAGAATGGAAAATCAGCTAAACATTTGACATGCACCTAAGCCTCTGTCAATTTCCTGGGCAAAAATCTTAAATTCAAAGTAATATTTACTTACTTAGACATCAAGTGAGCATCTCTGAGCCCTACCTTCGCAGCTGGTGAAGGTAGTTACGAGTAAAAATGTGGGAATTCCATCTTTCCCCCGGCTCATTAGCATGCTTCCAAATCATCTTCCATTCCTCTCTGGCAAGCTTTTTTTTTCTCTGATTCACTGCCTAAAAAAAAAAAAAAAAGTTTCCCAAAAGTGGATCACAAGGTTCCTCAAATTCACATCAGTCCTCTTTTAAACTTCAATAAGATCTAGCAAATGGCCTCCTCCCTCCTCACATAAGCCAATAAGTCACCTTTATTATTGCCAAAAGCATAGGTTGAGTGCAAGAGCAAAAGACGGCACTCATGGCAGTGTTTTCATTTCAGTGATACAGCAAATGATAGATTGTTGATCTCTGTAAAGCTCACAATTCAATTAATGAAACATATTAAACCCATATGTAGCATATTATGCAGTATTTGTAATGCAGTCAGTATGACAAAACTAATTTACTGTAATGCCATCATATAGAAAAGTAGAAGAGTAAATTATAAGTGCACACAAAACACATTCATTCGCTCATGAATGAACGTGTGGTATGAAATGTGATACACATATATAGTAACTAAGAGAAAACGCATGTAGGATGGCTTACAGAAATTGAACTACATTATTTTCCAGATAATATATGTAATTTTGAAATAAAGCAGGATTTTTTTCTGCCACAAACTCAGCCTCAGTTGCATAAACTTGTCTTGTGCTTGTGCACGTTGTCAGAAGCCTACCTTTTTTTTCAGACAGAGATTTGAGTACGTGATTGTGCCCCACAGATTTCAGGTTATCACTCTGTCTGCATTGCCATGTGATGGAACAAGAACATATAACAGTATTATTTATTTAGGGATGGGAAAGAGCAGAAACGAGGTAGCTTGGCAGAAGTCTGTAAAAGCTCATGGGAAGTAGCCACACTCCATCCCATGGCTTACAACCACTGAAGCCTGTTATCACACATACTTAAAGGCAGTATTTCACAGGCTGCTTAACACTTTGCTCATATGGCACAGAGGAAGAAAATTCATTGTGCCAAGAAAACACTCCTTCATAATTTCACCAGCACTTCTCAGAAGGCTGTAAACAATATTGGCTGCATATTTTCCCAGCTTGTGTCCCACCACTCAGGGATTCCTCTTGAAAGATATTCCCTCAAGGATTCTGTCTGGAACAGCTTAACTTCCTTCAGTAAATGTTTCCTCTGCTTTCCCTTTTCTAACCCTTTAATTCAGTGTTCCCAGGAGAAGTTTTACAAGATGCTGATCTTGCACAGTAAAGAGAAAAAATACTCAGCACCCAAGGCCTTAAATGGAGTGTTTGCTTCAAGACTTTAATTAAGGCTTAAATATATGTTTTTAAGTGAGGAAGTAAAAGGGCTAGGAACAATTATCTGTTCTTTGCTTTATTTTTATTATATTTTTTTTCAGCTCATTTGTAACCTCAAGGAACAAATTTCTGCAATATCTCTCCACACCCCTGCAAAATTTCTGGTGAGAGTTTGAATTATGGGGTAAAAAAAAAAAAGAGTGGTGAGTGTGTATTTTGGAAGCTTAAATCCAGAGGCCAACAAAACACCAAAAGAAGCAGAAAATCCTATGGTGTTGACTGTGCCAAGTTAGGATGGTATACCTGGGAAAGGATCCCTCCACGTATGTCCTGTTATTGTGCACCTTCCCAAAACATCTACTGCTGCCACAAGGACAACGAGAAACTGGTCTTCTGCTCCCATCTAGGAGCATCATTATGGGAATGGTAAAGTACTGAAAGAGAAGGGGAAAGGCAGAGATATTCTGAATGCAATCCAGGCAATGAAACACACAACAGAACTACTGGAAAAAATGGTAGGGAATGTGCTGGCAACCCCAGGAAATACAACCTTTGAGCTACAAAGCTGAAGGAATGCGAGCCATTGCCACCAGCCAATATGTACATCTTTCTCCACTGGGTTGCCTTTTCCTGCTATGGAGCTCTCAGTACACTTCTTCATCTCACAACAATTCCTCATTAATAAATTTCAATTGTTTTGTAAATCAGGGTCTTTTTACTGTAAGTGATAACCATAACACTAGACAGGAGATGAACAACAGAGACAGTACAGACAGATACCAGCATGCAGCTTTATGATCACTGTGCCAAGGAAATCCTGTATCACTATCATCTACTGCCAAAAGAATTCAGTGCTGCACTCCTCATCCCCATGTGAAATGCGGTATACCCCTCCACTATAGAAGTGAACAGACAGTCTCTTTAGGACACTTCCATGGGTTAGTGACAGCACTTTTGGTTTCACAAACTTTTTGTACCAAAACCCAGGTAGTCTGGTAATGTTCTTGCTGAGCTTAAACCATGTTATGAGATGCTTCCACTTGCCCGATGACTTTCCCCAGACCTACTCCACACCCTCTGCAACTACTTGTCACCTGTGGACTCTGAGCAGGAAGAGAGCACTGTGTTGCATCAGCCTGCAAATGACAGGACAGGCAAGGACAGCTAGCACCTTGCTCAGCGTCATGAATATCAGCGAGGTGACTGGGGATGGGAGGCGTCCTTGCTAACAGCTTTACCAAATGTTTCCTGAATGCTCTGCTGCCAGGCACTTCTCCAGCCCAGGTGGATGGCATGGAGGCATCCCCTGTGACCTGCTGCAGCATCTGAGATACCAGCTCACAGTTATCTTCCTGGCAGGTGGGTGAGGATGACACAAAAATTAGTGCTCATGATCAATTAGGAACTGGAATGAGTCCTAATGGGACCTATGTTCTCCATGTACATTTTCTCAATGGAAGTCCACAGCTTCAAGGACGTGATTCACCATGAGGTTTCATCCTGCCAACACAGCACTCACAAGCAGCCACACTGCTTTCTCTCACCCGTGTTCTCTGCCTTCCCCTGGGCATCCTTCCCACTGCAGTGGGATAGGCCCTGACCTAACAGGTGGAAAGGGCTTAACTGCTCCATCCTCATCCACACAGGTGATGATAGGCTCAGGAATGAGACAGGCAAATAAATCAATGGATTTAACAAAGAAGAAGATGGTGTTTAAACCTCCATCTCCCACTATGGTGATGAGAGCTGGTATGCATTTTTAGCTAATTTTTGAGTAGATACAGAAAGACAGAAGCATTAGCATCTAGCATGAGTTAACACAGGTATGTCTAAAGCCATCATGCACAGCAGTAGACAAACCTTGGCTGGAATAGTACAGTCAGGCATCCATAGTTTCAGAAGAAAATGTAAAAATAAATAAATAAAATTGCATGATTTCTGAAGAGATGACAAAAATGGCAGAAAACCTGCTTTACAGGGAGTCTGAGCACACTGTATTACTTCACAGTGAGAAGTCTTTGATTTGGCATACAAATTATATATATATATATAATTATATATATATATTATGTATACATATATACATATTATATATATTATATTAGAAAAATGGCTAGAAGCCAAGGCGTCAGTTTCAGGTTAGCAATAAGGGGACACAGCAAGGGGGAAAACTTACAAATGCAGAAACAAATGTTCCACAATTTGAAGCACATAAATGAGGGTTAGAAACTTTCCAGGTAATGTCCTGTCTTGGCCCAAGCTAAGGACTAAGCCATGAAGCACCACTGTGAAAGTTTGATGGCTTCTGCTACACCTGTGGGCAGACAAGATACTCCCAGTGGGCTGGCCCAGCTGTGTAAAGCTATTAAGTCATTTCCTTCCAGAGTTGATAAGATTATTTTATCCTCTTATAGGAGTAAATATTTTTAACCAAATGGGGATAAATATGTTGGGAAGTACAATGTCCTTGACCCTGGTTTGAGGAAGAAAACAGAAGAGAAAGGCAATGGAGAACAGATGAGTTTGGGTGGGTCATGACATGGGGCAAGAAACTTGGATAGCCACTAGAATTGCTCACACGTATTTTTGAAAATTTTATCATGTGACTGTTTTGCACTTCTATCAGAGATGGTTCTTTCCCTCTGGTCTGTGAATCTAGGCTGTGCTCCGTGTTTTATCAGCAGGGTCTGAAACCAGATCACTGTAAAGTACCTGTGATCTGGTGTCCTTCAGCTAGTCAAAGATCCACCTTTTGACATGGTGACGTTTGGCCATGAAGGCAGAACGGAATGGAGCCTACATGAAATGTACAGCTAGATTCTGCCAAGATTCTTTTCAGGAAAAAGTATTAACTCCTTGAAACAGATGAAAACATTTACTATGAAACATCAGACCCAGTTCTAGCATGAACAGGTTTAAGCCTTCTCATCTGTTAAATCAACAGAAGTGTTACTATTTCCTCCTTGCTTGCCAGTGAGATTGCCTCTGCAGTAATATCTGTGATACCACGGAATTTTCTTAGTATCATTAAAGGAGAAAGTTAGCTCACCAGGCAGTCTGGGGAGTAATGGAAGTTTTATAGATAGATGTGCGTGTGTGCCTGCACGCTCATGTGCATCCTGGATCTTCCTCGCATCCCCACGAATGCTGTGTGGTAGCAGCCCTGGAATGCCAAAATCATCTGGGGAATTCCTCATTCCTAAGTTTAGCGCTAAAGAGCTAATAGCTTCAGTATGTTTCATTGTTCAGATGTGAGGTTAAATGCAGAGATCAGACTCAGTTTCTTTTCTGGAACACCCGTCTAATACTGTTAGGATGTGCAAGTCCCTTTCTTGGCTGCCCTGCATTGGATCTGGAGGCAGGGCCCTGGAAACTGCAGAACAATTTGTTTAGCAGAGCAGTAGCACAGGTAACTCAGTATTTCATTTCTTTTTCTCCAATCACTAAAATATAATCTGTCAACAGAAGAAGGAGCAGTGTGGAAAAGGACCACTGGCTTTAAGGAAAATACATTCATTGAATTCTTCAGAAAAAAAACAGACCCTATGTCTAAATTTAATCCCCCTATCTTCAGAGGAGACAGCTTATGTAAACTATCACATATACAACAAGGTGCAAAGGATCTACATCACTGCAGTTCCCTAAAACCAAATATGTTCCACCTTACTTTTCTAAATTATTATATCTAGTATTTATTCTCCAACCTACATTAATGGCTTTCTGAGTTTGTTCAATCCTTTTTAATCTCCTGACTTATTTTCAGTGGATAAGAAATTGCCTTTTGGTCATATTACCACATCACATCACTGAGGTGACTGACGAGTTTGGCCAAAATTCCCTGCCTTTAGAATACAAGAGCTCAAATCTGCTGTTACTGGCTACAGCTATGCCTAGAAAGTAAAACTAGAGTTGTACAATCCATTAGACTTAAATAAATAAAGGAAAATATGATTCCTATCACTGTAAATAGCTGGCCACCATTGAGAAAGGGAATGTATAAATAATTATTTTAGCTGTATGTATGCAAGAAGGGCCAAAAAAGAGTTCATCCAAAAATAGTAATTAAAAAAAAAAAAAAAAAGGAAAAAAAGGTCAAGTCATGCCTTTTATTACTTTTGCTAGATTCCAGTAATGAAAACACCTGCATTTCAGTTTATCAACAAGTATTGTAAAATTAGCAAACAATATAAACCCATATTCCATTCAATTTCTTGGACGCAAACTTGGGAAACTCAATAGAAGAGCCTTGGTAAACTTAGTAGAAGAGTCAAATGTGAGGATGTGAAGGTAATCCATGAGTTATAAAAAGTGGTTCCCATAATAGAGCAGCACCTCACAACCAGTTATCCCAGTTATCTGCCAGATAGGCTGGTATTTTAGATGTCTGCTTCTCTTGGGTAATCTGAGAAGATTCACTAAATTTATAGTACAGAATATTGTTTTCTGAATTCTCTTGCGAGGCTGAGATTCCCTATATGCCATACCCCTGTGATCAGCCAGGACCATCATCTATCTGACTAGGCAAGGAATGGAAAAGGGATTTTGCTCCCATATCCCAGGTCCTGCACTGAGCAGTCAGACAGGGCTAAGAGTTGGACTGAGATACTATTGATAGCAACGGGGTCTTTTTAGTCCATGCTAAACAGCAGGGGCTGTATGGTAAACAGAATTTTCATATTGATTTGATAGTATACCATAAGCTTTCCACAAACTATTTTTAAAATTCTATGTTTCTGAAGCTGCCAGCACGTTTGTAAAAGTCATATAACATAGACTTAATTAATTATATTAATTAAATAAATAATTATACATAGAATAGAAGGAAAAAAAAAAAAAACAAAAACAAAACAAAAAAAAAAACCAACAGTATATATGGGGACAAGTTTTCCTACCTATACTGTTTAATTTATGCTGAGAATTGTTACAAATAAATAAGGAAGATAGTCTTCCAGTGTAAAAACACCTACCTTATCATTTCTAAGTAGATTGAGATAGACACAGTGCAGATTTTGAACACCTATTGACAGATAAGCAGAAATATAATGTGGCAGCAGAACTGCTAAACTCTAAAGAGATTACCTACTATTTGATCCAGAATACTTTTAGTGATCAAAGAAAACCGTAAGCGAGATAATTTTGCAAAAGGTACTGTCATTTTCCACTGGTAGGATATAATGCTTTTTGCTATTTTTATGGGCACTGTTTTTATGGTGCCATTCCATCATTTTATTGACAAAAATCTACAGAATTGTCCATTTCTTTTTTGTGGTAAGGAAAAGTTTACTACACTAAATTAAGATAGCATATTAAAAAACAAACAAATTTGCTTCTGGTTCTGTTTGAAAACAGCAACAGGCCACAGCAACCATTACAATTTTTTTTACATTAAAAATACCATTTGTATATATGTATATAACAAACGTAGCTATACAAT